TACTACACTCACTGTAATCTACGGCTCAGAATGCTAAGCACAACAACAATAAATTTTAGGAAAAATGACAAAAAAAAAGTTAGGAATTACTAAATGCTAAACAAGGAACATCAACAAAAATTTATGGTCATTTGCAAATTCAGTGTGATCAACTTTAAATAAAGTATTGTTACCAAACTTGATTTGAAATTTAGTAATTTTCAACTTCTTTTTTTTTGGTCATTTTTCATAAAACTTGATCCTGCCAAGTGATGCAAAATACATAAATCACATGATATTGTTGTGTTCTATCAACAACAAACTTTAGAAGACTAAATAAGGGGTATAAACAAAATGATAATTGATCCCTTGAATTTAATTGAGAATGTGTTCTATCCATTGCTCTAGGATAGCAGGGGAACCATAACAAGGTCTCAACTCATCATCTAAACCAACAGGTATATATGTGAGCCCCTTCAATATATCTGCACATAGTTTTATTCAATTAAAATCCATATTAGCAATCACTCTTTGGCCTGTACTATTGAAGTTACACTGACGATGACAAAGATATTGAACTCTATGAATAACTGAATGTTGTTATTAGTAGTCCCTAAGTTGTTACCAAACTAGATGCCTTAAGATTTTAGATCAACATGAGGTGTTAAACCATAAGTATAGTTCGTAACTAGAACACAATTAATCAAGATGTTGTTGGTCTTTTAGGTTTCAACTACTTTTGGTTCACCACCACATTCAAATACTTCAGAATTGATATGCATTTGAAAATCCATTAAGGCACATTAGTCTCAAGGATCACAAAGTTGAACAACTTTCCAGGAAAACATGAAATTCAATAAAAACATCTAAATCATCAACAGCTGTTAAACCAATGAGCAATTGAGGGACAAGCAGAGGAAATAAGATAAAGAACCCATTCAACAAAGCATGAAGGTTGAGTTTACCTGCCAGCAATACAAACACACATCATTTGAGAGGCGTAACAGCGTTTGAGCAGTTCTGTTCAACATAATTCAGGTGACAATATGTGTGCCCTTTGGAAGTGGGTTGAGAAGAATGTCAAACAGAACATTATCAGAATTTTATCATCACGGACCAAAGTTAAGAGAACAGTTTCCCTCATGTTTGAATAATTAAAGGAGTGGGCATAAATTTTAGTCCTCCAAAAATACACCTTGTCTCACTTGATCTGTCACAAATTTAATATCTTACGTCAATCATCCAATCAGTATCTTCTTTTCCATCCTTAAAATAAGCTCATTAGCATATAGTAAAGATGGTTCATGTGGCCTAAAGTGAAGTTGATGTTGCAGTTAGGCGTTCCTCGACTCCCGGCATAAGCCAAGGAATCCGAAATGCATTCTGTAAAGAAACCGAGCCGTAAGTATTAATCGTTGACCAACTCCAAACCAATTTAGAGGATTTAATATCTATAAGCAAGAAGGTTACAGGGGAGGGATTCCGAGAGTCAATAACAAGGAAACACGAGACATCCCAAATTCTTCCATGTGGATCTGTGCAAGCCATCCTCCTGCTAAGTGTCCAATCAAGGATAAAGTCGCATCAGAAACAAGGTTATTTTGCAATGGTTATGATCAGCAAATGGACGATGCACATAGAAGACATGATGGGGATTCAAATGTTCCGTGAGGAAGAAAAAAGGGAGGGAAGGAAGAGAATGAATAATTGCTCTAAATTTCATGGTCACCTGGACTTATGTTGACAGAAAAATCATTTCTTGCCGCATATATTTAAATGGTTGTTTGAATTGTTAATGTTATGAGTTCCACGTTAAGGAATCTCACAAGTATTGTGAGGTTTATAAGTTCAAAAGGCTTTACCTTCTAATAGGTTAGTTTTTTGGGATTGGGCTTTCTCCTTGGGCTTGTGCTTATTATATTGGTGCTTTCATTGAGAGTCAACCAAGCGGAAAGGGCTACCTGCGAAGGGTTCTGACCGGTAAGAAAACAGAATGAAGTGCCATAAAGTGTAGCCGCCAGGGACATCCCATCTCAAAGGGGGTGCTCTGTTGTGAGTCCCATATTGGGGGACTCTAATCAACTTTTGATAGTCACCCAAATTGTTCCCTAAACCTTGAGAATTATTGGAGAAAATATCATCAACACAAAGTGACCCACAAAATTAAATCGCTAGACTTTTGACAAAAGCATTTAACAGTTACTGAAATGTATTGAAAGATCGATTTCAAATTCCAATCTGAGCCCAATTACCCAAAAAAATAATTAAAGCAAAAAATTGTTAATGCTTGTGTTTAACTCTTGTGAGAAATAGAAAGAAACAGAGAGAAGACTTAGGGGGTGTTTGGATGAAATTAAATCATGGTTTGGACAATAGTTTCTGAAGAATAGATTTTGGAGAAAATTTAGATTTTGTAAAGGATAAATTTTGTGAAAAAGTGATTTTGAAAAATGAGAGTGTTTGGATAGTTGTTACCAGAAGCATTTTTTACATGTAGAAATTACTAAAAAAGGCATAAATTAATATGATAATTATATAAGGGATAGATTTTATAATATATTTTGATTTGAAGAAATAAAATTGTTAATAAAATCATTTTTACTAACATAATTAATAATATATAAGATAATATAACCAATAAATAATTAATATGTGTATATATATTTATAAACTATAAGATTAAATATGTTTATAGAATAATGATTATTTTTCTCTAATAGAAAAATATTAATTTGCTTTAAAGATTTTAAACATGAAATTCTATTACATTTTTTCACAACTAGTTTTTATAACAACATACTATCTCTCATCTTTAATATAATTAATTAATTATTACTACATGTGTAAAAATATTTATAAAATATAAGATTAAAATATTTTTGAAAAAGATGAATAATTTTTTGTAAACAGAAAAGAAATAAATAAAAAAAAGGGTACAATGTAACAACATACTACCTCTTTCTGATTAAAGAAAAAAAAACAACATACTACCTCTCTGAACAGTGAAGGACCAAAGGCGGAAGATTCAAGCTTGAGGGGTATATGTGTCTGGTAAAAAAAAAAATCCTCACATCCGTATGACACTCACCAATTTTCTTCCCAAAGCATATTCAAAATGCTTTTTCCAAAACCATGGTTTTGATTCTTTATGGGTGTTTGGGTCATTTTTTTCCCCAAATTATGATTTTGGGGGACATCCAAACACACCCTTAGAGGAAGAATAACGGCGGTGCGATAGGTGGAGGAAGAAGGGGAGGCTTGGGATGGTGGTGTTGTGCAATGCGATCTCTCTTAAGAAGAGACGAGGATGAGGCCACCCATTTTACCAAAGCGACCAAAGCAAAAACCATAAAGAGGGAAGTGCCTCGGCGTTAAAGCTCAGAAGATAATTTTGAATGCGAGGTCCAAAATTGCCAACCAAAAGTTGAAGACACACAAGGTTGCGAGACATAGTTTGGTTCCACTTCCAAGGTGTCTGATTCGCTGAGAGAAATCACTTCCATGTTGAATCTTCTCAGTGTATCCACTGACGTGACTATTCCACAACAGATGCATTATTAATAAAGAAAGAACCTGATGAACAAAAAGATGCCCAAGTTCAATTAATCCTCCGAAGAAAGTGGTCATAACACAATATGTTACATGGAGATGGAGTACAGCACAAAGATGAGCAGGTGGTGAATATGGCTTCGAGAGATCATGGTATAAATGATTGGCAAAATTAGATCCTAAATGCAACAACCTCAATAACTAATGTGATAATAATAGTTTATTGCTCTGAATACCTGCCATTGAAAGCATCCTTTACCTTCCCAAAATTATAAGACTCAGGGCAGAATGCATACACAGCTTGTTTGGAGCATATATTGACAACCAACAAGGAGATCTCAGAGCTTAATTCTAAATGAAGGTTTTTTAAACAAAAAGGAGACCCAAAATAAAAATAGAGGAATAAAATTCATCCTTGGTAGTGACATTGACAGATTGATGAAAGCCATCAAACGCCATACACTTATAAGTTGGCTCCAACCAATCATGACCTAAGTAAAATTAGCAACTCATGAAAAGAGATAGGATAAAATGACACAATGCCGAGCTTATTATCAAGTGATGAACATGTGATGTTACCATGCAAGAATAGCTACCAGATTGTAATGAATAGGTTGTACATAAAATGGGTTTATGACTGTGAAACTGAGGCTAATGGACCACAAGATGCAATAATTGGGCTTATGAGGAGTCGACTAACATGGAACAAGCCATTAGGGTATTTAGATGGAGAAAGGTAGGAGCTTGCAGCAGTGAAGATTATTATGAAGATTCCTCCCTATCGTTCTTCTTTTTTCCTTCTGGCCATCATTGTCCCTGTGACTGTAGAGTTTCCCTTGTTCCCTTCATGTTGCCTGTAGTTTTCATCTTTAGCTGTTAATGCTTCTGGTCTTCTTCATCTCTTAGTGTTTTAATTCTCAGACTTGCCCGACACACACAAAGTACAGTATACTTTGCATTCGATTTGTCTTGCAATTATATCTGTTAAGCTCTCCTTATATATAAAGGTGATCATAACACAGATGACGACCCCTCAACGAGCAATTGCAGACATGTTTCTTGCTTTTGCTTTAAACTATCTCAAAACACTACTTTCTCCATTCTAATATCATAACCAATATGACCCTGCCTCTACTTTTGGCCACAATTCCACAAGGTTTGTTCACGTTTGTAGAGTCATTATTCTTTGAAATAGTAGAAAGATATCAATGTTCAATAACAAGTCAAAGACTAGTTGATTTCTTTCCTTATTTGGTATACCAAAAAAAGAATCATAATTCTCACACTTTATCTCTCTCTAGTCCAAGATTTCTTTACTCTATTTGCTTATTTTTATATTTCCTATATAATTTTATTTCTATTTTTTGTCAGGTCAAGGAAGGAAGAAGAACAAGGGATATTACACCATATTATTTGTAAAAATCTGAGCCACACAAATGGGACAATTTAATTATTTATGTACAACCATGCCTATAGATCAATTTTAATTCAAAAATGAAATATATTGACTTCATAAAAAGTGTTGTGGCCCCAAGAAAACTTCAAAGAAAGTGCTGCAGCAAAAACTTCGTTGCCTTTCTACGTTTGGTAGATTGATATGCCTCTTCTTCTTCCTCCTCCTCACATTTGTGTTTGGTGCCACTTAAATTTACAGCTTCAGATGTTGAAGGCTCCATCTGTTCATCAAATGACTCACTGTACATCAAATAGACTACCGTTTTCTTCACAGTGAATCCATCCCCAAAAACTGCTTTCACCTCCACTTGGTCATTAGGTTTCAGATTTGATATTATTTCCTTCATCTCTGCTTCTTCCAAGGATTTCAGTTTGTCTTCCGTGTAGAGCAAAGTGGATGCCTTTGTATAATTTATGATCATTAAGCAAATTATACAAGATCCAGATGCCTTGTTTTCCAAATCACCTGAAGGGATATATGCAAAACAAATTGTCATCCCTTTTAAATGATCATGACCATTAACTGGGGGCAGTTCAAATTTTACAGAAGCTCCTTCACCCTTAAATGTTAGCCAATACGGGTAAATGTCACCAGGAAGAATGCAATCACCACTATACTTTGCAAGATTCAATCCCTGTACAATAACAAAAAAACAAAACTTCTAATTTAACTTATATAATATTCACACAGAAATCTTCTTTAAAACAATCCAAATAGAGAGAACCTGTGAAACCATCTTTGAAAGTGTAGAGAAGACTTGAGAATTCTTTCCAATATGAATTAAAAGATGCTCCAAGCAATTTTTAATTACCGAGATGTCCATACAATTTGTACGAGGTAGTGGATTATTTGTTGGGGACATCCAAGATTGGTAGAGAGAAGGAATCACACAACGTGCTAATCCTTCATGACCATTGACCGATAGATTGAAAATGCTTTTTAATCTCACCAAAGAGTACGGCACTTTTTTTATTGTAGGAGCAACTAGAGTTGTCAAAGATTCCATTTGCTCTATGTCCTCCTCAAGCTTTTCAATATTCAAACAACCAGAAAGAATGAGAGTTTTTAAGCATTTTAATCTATAAATGCTTCTTGGGAGGCTATGAAGGCCAACACAATCCTCCAAATCTAGTAGAAAAAGTTTATGAAGCTGCCCAATAGAATCATGCAGCATGGATAGACTTGGACAATCTTTGAGGATCAACTTCTCAAGATTTGGTAGTTTTGAAAAATCAGGAGTTTGCCTCAAGTGAGGAGAGTGGCCTAGATTGAGGATTTTCAACATCTTCAATATCTACAATGAAAACATATTTCAAAAGGGAATTAAATGAACATGCCAAGAAATTTAAATAATAAAACACATAGAAACAATATGTAAAATCCTTCACCTAAACTGAAGACTCTCAAGTCCAAACATTGTTTTCAATCAATTGAAAACTAACTCTTAAAAGAAAAAACATACCATGTATCAATTATTTAATCTAGAAAAAGTAACACATATTTCAACATAAAGCGAATTTGAATTAAAGAAAATCTAATAGCTTTATTCTTCAATAATAGCAAGGGAACATGGGGGAAAAAATCTAAGATAAAAAACTATCAAGAAGGCTGCAAACAATGAAAACTAGAGTAATATATTTACAAGTCCCAAGTCCCTGTTTTATTTTCCACATATACATAAACTTGGAAGCTAAAATCAACAAATTAACTTCGCTTCTTGAGTCAATTATTGGCCCCAAAAAAAATTACGATAAACTATATACTATAATACGTCAAATTTGAAGCATCGTGGTAATTTTCAGAGAAAATAGGCTTTCTATCATATAGCAGTTTGGCCTTTTTCCCTTTTTATTTTTCAATTTTATTTTGATAGTTGTGGCCCAAAAAACCAACAAACTAAGTATCAATTTATATACCTGGGATTCCTTCCACACTTTTCTGAGGTTGCTATTTTCTAAGTCAATAGCAACTAATTTCTTTTGATAAAAGTTGCTAGGAATGTATTTTAAGGGAAAGCCATGCCAACAAAGCCATCTGAGATTTTTACTGATATAATTGTAGTCTCCTTTAAGCTGTACATCATCAAGATGAAGTAATCTGAGTTTGTTCATCATCTTAAATGCTTCTGTCTGAAAATGCTTCTTTTTACTTTGTGACAAATTCAAAGATAGTCCTTCAATAGTCTCTGTTCCCTACAAAAATAAAAGTATATTTGTCGGTCGAAACACAAAAATAGAAACATATGTCATTATCATGCTCATAGAGAAGTGTGACTACAAAATGAGTTTTAAATATTGGATATAAAAGTTCCTACCATGTGTTTTGATAATACAGCTCGTGCTTCCTTATGAAACCATAACCTGCTTCTATTCCCAGGCACCATTTTAGATTGTTGACGAATTACTTCTCTCCCCATGTCTCGCAGCAAATCATGCATAACAAACTTGTTCTTCTCATCAATGGCTATAAGGCTTCGCTCCACAAGGGTTTCGATTCCAATGTCGGCAAAAAATTTACAACCATCTAGTATCTGTGTCACATTATGTCTGTCCATCCCAATAAAGAAGCAACATATATCCAGAAATATTTCTTGCTCCAACTCATCTAAACCATCATAACTTATTTTTAGCTTCTTGTGTATCTTGTTATTGGGAATTTCTTTTAGTTTCTTGAATACACACTTCCATTTTTCTACCCCTCTGCCAAATAAATGGGAGCCTAGGACCTCAAGAGCCAGTGGAAGCCCCCCACAATATGCAACTATTTTTCTTGAAAGTTTAATGAAATCATCTCGGGGACTTTCTTGTTTAAATGCATGCCAGTTGAAAAGCTCAATAGATTCCCCTTCATCCAAATTCCTCATCATATAAACACAATCCTTCTCAAGGAGTAGACTTTGATTTCTAGTTGTGATTATTATTATACTTCCTGGTTTAAGCCAGTCACCACTTCCAACTAAAACTTTCAGTTGGGCCAACTTATCCACATCATCAAGCACAACCAGTGCCTTTTTATGGCTAAGTCTATCCTTCAAAGTGATTATTCCTGTTTCGATGCTATTTATCTTCATCTTTATTGGCTTACATATTTCAGAGAGAAGTTTGTTCTGTAAGTGCACTTTACCATCTTTTTTATGCCAAACTTTTCTGATATTTGAAAGGTAACTTCTACTCTTAAAAGTGCGACCAATTTCATTGTAAATGGCTTTGGCAATAGTTGTTTTGCCGGCGCCCCCCATTCCCCATATCCCTATTGTGACAGTATTTCCAGATGAATGGTTTTGGAGCATTGTGATCACTTCACGCACGCGACTATCGACTCCTACTGGGTGCTCAGCCACAAATAAGTCAGTCTTGCACAATATATCACAAACTTGCCTAACAATATCGTCAACATAATCACTCTCGTCCCTGCAAATCATATAAGCATAATAGGAAAAGTGCATAAGATATATTAACACGTAGGATTACATATAAATAAATTCAATATTTTGAAAGCTATATGTTGTGTTTGGAGTAAAGAAGATATTATGAATAGACACTCATTATTTCACTACAAAACAAAATTCAGTTCATTGTAAGCACATTAATTTATTATAAGAATCAATATCACATTTGTCTACGTGATTTAGAGAATTAGGGAGAAGTTGAGAGAAACGAGAGAAAGCAATTTAAACTTGTAATTTCATTCAATAATAAGGCATCCACATAAGAGCTTATAGGGCCTAAACCTTTCCTTAAGTAATCAAAACAAATCTTAGTAAAGTTGGTTCTAGGATAAAATAATTTGAAAACACCACATTTATTAAAATAAGTCAAAGATAACAAAATCATTTCTTGTCTTCAAATATTTGTCAAACGGTCTTAAATAATTTTTTTCTTCTTGACTAATAATAAGGCTTCATGTATTGCCTAAACCTACTTATAATTTTGATTGAAAAGGCTTCATTTTGCGATAACAATCCGTTCACCCACACGTGGTTAATTAGTTACAATATAAATAATTCAGAAGTCAAAAAACAAAAATTATTTGGAATGAAGCAAAGCTAATGATACCGCATATATCTTGGGCTTAGTTGACTTTAATAATAAGCCATGCATGATTATGAGGAGCATGCTAGCCCTAATCATTTTCTAGTGCTACTATAAGGTTTGATAAAATATTCAATGAAACATCGAGCAAAACAATACACATGCTATATTAGACTTGAAAATTTTACAATATATGTAGCCTTTAAAACAGTTCCTGGTAGGAAACAAACAGAAGTGAGTAGTGTTCCCAATAATATACCTGCATATAAACACATATCAAGTGTCCCAATTAAAAGCCGATAAGGAGTTAAAAATTTACCCGGCACTAAGTACAACGGTTCCTGCAAGGCTCCCAGCTTTAGTAAGGGTTTCCCTCCACTCCGAAACTTGAGGTTTTGATTGGAAACTTTTTCGTATAAAATCTTCGAATGCTTTTCCAAAATTGGAAGTTTGATGACGAATTTCTGATGGATCAACATGGTAAAACACAGGTAGAACCACCCGACCCTCCGATTTACGAAGCCGCATGATCATTGACAATTCCTTCAAACACCATTTAGATCCAGCATATTCACTAGAAAAGATGATGATTGAGATTTTTGAACTTCCAATTGCCTGCAAGAGTTCTGTGTTGATATACTTTCCTCTGGGAAGCTCAACATCATCTTTAAAAACAGTTATGCCAGCATTACATAGAGCCGCATAGAGGTGTGAAGTAAAATTCTTCCGAGTGTCACCTCTAAAACTCAAGAACACCTCATACCTATAACCTAGATATTATATTTAAAAAAAACAGAATATTAGTAAATTAAAATGCTATTCAAATTAATATAATTAGAATATTATTACAATATAAACATTTTAAAATGTAAGATTACAAAATGTCAGAAATATTATGAATAATAATATTAATTATCATCGCTACACACATGTTTTATAATACGTGAAGCACATAATGCATCCTCACAAAACCATAACGTACCTCGAATTTGTAACTCTGTGAGTACCGTTTCATGTATTATTTTGCTTCCCATGAGTTGCAACAGATTATGCATTCTAAGTTTGTTGTCGTCAATGGTTATAAGGCCTCGATCCTGTAGGATTTCTATGTCAATGTGAGCATAGAATTCATTGCCTTTCAACTCTTGGATCACATCATTCAAGTCCTCCCCAATATAGAATTCAACTATATTTAGAAATATTTCTCTTTGTTCCTTACTTAAAGAGGCGAGGCTAAGCTTTAGAATGTTGGATATGCCAAAATATTGAAGTCGGCTCAGCTTCTGGAGCATCGCACTCCACTCTTGCAATGGCTGACTACGCAACGTACAACCAAGGACTTTAAGAGCTAGTGGCAGCCCTTCAGCATAAGCAACCACTTCTTTGCAAGCACCCATGAATTCTTCTATAGGGTATGGTTGTCCAAATGCTTGCCAAATGAGAAGTTGAAGAGACTCTTGGTCGCTCAAAAGTTGCATGTGATATGTGTCATCCACTTGAAAGGCATTAAGAAGTGATAAATCTCTAGTTGTAATGATTATTATACTCCCTTCACCGAAGTGATCACGACTCCCACATAAAGTATTCAGTTGCTCCAACTGATTCACATCGTCAAGCACAAGAAGTACCTTCTTATGCTTCAACATGAGGCTTCCTATTTGCGTACGTAACCTTGAAACAAGGTCGACTTTTTCCCTCTGCCAATCTTCCCCGTCAAAACCCAAATAACACATGTCCTCAAATTCCCAGTGGATGTGCTCAAATATGGCTTTGGCAACAATAGTTTTGCCTATACCCGCAATTCCACATATCCCTACCATGATAACGTGTTTTGATTTATGATTATGAAGCATTGTAATCACATCCTGGACACGAGAATCCACTCCAACGGTGTTCTCTGCACTACACATGGGCGGGGCCAATATTTCACGAACACGATGGATAATATGGTCAATAATCTCCTCTCTTTGAGTGCTGTGAATTATGAAGAAAGAATAGCAGAAAAGGGAGCACTGAGTAATTAACCATGACTACAAATAAAGCAGGATAATGGTATATATTAGGAGCGACACATATATTCCATCAAGAAAACAAGAAATGAAACACATATATTCTCACCTTCAATTCACGGAATTAAAATAATACAAGTCAATGCACAAAATCATAGTTCTATATATGTTAATCGTGTTACATAAATTATAAGGTTCCATTGCATAGCATGAATAGAAGGATGACAAACACGTGATAATCAAGTCCCCTTGTATGTCAAAATCATAGATTATGTGCTTAGCTGATTGCTATAGGTTTTGACTTCAAAACATTGATAGGAAAACGCATTTTCATGAGACTTGGGTATATGTATGTCAAAGCAACAAGACATCCATTTCCTTATGAGCGCGCGTATAGTCTAACCTACCCATCAATTCTTTTAATAATTAATTGTTGTAGATTGTGACAAAAGAGTTGTACTTCTCCCTCTCACACACACACGCAATATTAGCAAAATTGAAAATAAATAGAACACAAAACAAAACAAAAATTAAGTTACTTGGACTCGAGATTAGGCACATCAAACCCATAATTGCCTCCAGCTTCTCTGAGAGCTCTCCTCCAGCTTGATACTTCACCGTCAGTACCTTGAAGTGCTTCTCCAAAACTAAATTCTTGATTACGAACTTGAGACCGACTCACTTCACAGAATATGGGAAGAACTACATCATAATATGCTTTGCGAAACTTCATGATTTTTGTGAGTTCTTTGAGGCACATTCTGGAGCTAGCATAGTGTCTAGAGAAGATGATGATAAAAATTCTACGACCTTGAATACTTTGCAATAGTTCAATTGAGATATCATCTTTGAAAACTGAAATCCCAGCTGCCCTCAGAGATGAATAGAGACAAGAAGGAAAAAATTCTAGAGTCTCTTTGCCTCTACAAAAACTCAAGAACACTTCATATTCATCGCCTACAATGTTTTAAATTACACAAACACTGGTTAATATTTATTAATGTGAACGACCATAAAAATTGTAAATATATTCAAGAACCAAGAGATAATTCGTTGGCCCCCATGCCCTAAAAAATAATAACTGTCTTTTTTTGTTTTTTCATTTTTTTATGTTTTTATTGATTTTTTCTTTCTTTCTTTAGGCTTTTTTTTTTTAACAGTGGAAGAAGAAATTCTGAAGTTCATTGAAAGACATTTCACATAGGACTTTGTGTCTAAGTGCAAAATCATGATGAAATAACTTTCTTTTCCAGGCAAATCGTCTGTGCATTAATTTGCTTGAAAAGAAGAATCCCACATATGTCTCCATGGATAACGGACCAACAATGTTTTTTCTGGGGCCCGTCGCATGCATGCATATATATTAGCAATTTTACTTTTAATATTTTGTAAGTTTGAAAAGTAATTTTATAATTTAAAAAATCCACTATATTAAAAACCAGACTAATTATTGAAGAGGTTGAGACAATAATTCAAGTGTCAAAACTCAAAAGTCAAACCAAGGTTTAATCCTGTGTCAAATTGGACATGATTAAAGGGGTGTTTAAGTAAAAATCAAACCATAATTTTAAAAATAAGTATGTGAAAAGAATTTTATTTCAATTTACATAAAAGTAAACAGCCCAAAAATAATATAATATGTACAATAGTATTTATATATAAAGCTAAGTAAAGTAACATTCAAATAAAAATGCATTAATGAAATATTCATGTATAAATTAAATAATTCGTAATTCAATAAAATAAGCGCAACAGGCTGAGTAAAGTACCGAAACAAATACTACCTCCGTTCTTAATTATAGTTAGGACAGGAGGTAGTGTAAAATATATCCATCCAAAATTTCGAGTTTGGACTGGGCCCGTCTATAAAGAATAAAAATAGGAGAAAATAAAACACAGATTATTTCTGGGTGGGGATTAATTTCTTTTGTGTTGATCAAGATGTCCCTCTTCGAGTTCTTTTTGATATCCATCTCCTGTTTTTTTAAGCATAAGATATGAAGTATCTTCCCATTGAAAGTGAAAGGATAAATGGGTTACCCAGTGGCCCAAAAAAAGAGTATAAATGGGTTACCATGCTCATTCTCCAGATCCAGATGCGAATCCGAATCTTCTGTCATTTATCCGCCTCAAAGATATTGGACGGTTGGAACGATCAATCCTGTCTTCCAGAAGAAGAAGAAGAATCCGTTAAAAATGGAGCAACTACCACCATCATCAATCAAATAAACCAAACAAAAAAGGCGTGGTGATATGGAGCGGAAAGTTACCTGTGAATTGCTGGGTAGGTGAAACAGAGACGACCAATCGATCAGAGAAGAGAGAGATGTATAGGACTTTTGCTGTCTCTGCAGGAGAGTGAATGGAGGAAGAGTGAATGATATGAAACAACCCGACGAAGAAGAAACGTGGAGCCTTCACTTCACTTGACTCTGTTATAAGGCTCTGGCGGCCTTTGCAGGGGAGTGAATGGAGAAAGAGTGACTGAAATAGAACGAACCGACGGAGAAGAAACCCGGAGCCTTCAGTTGACTTGACTCCGCTAAAACTTGAAAGAATTACAGCGCTGTCCGTTTGAAAACATTTCACATGCGAAAATTAAAAGGCTGTTTTGTTTTTTGTTCAAAGAAAATTAAAAGGCTGTGTTCAAAACAGTATTTTGTTTTCCTTCATTTTAATTGCGGAGACATTAAAGTTTTAGTAAAAAGATATCTGTACCAAAAAAGTAAAGTTTATTATACTGATTACTTTAAACTATCTTTGCTATTCTGTTTGAGTGTCTGTAAGGTTTAGAGTTAAATTTTTAATGTACATGTATTATTTTAGCTTTTGATTTCTTATTGTGCAAATTGTGATTTTCTTGAAAATTATTTATATTAAATATGAATAAAAATATTTTTTAGTTTCAGTGAACAGTAGTTCCTCTGTTTTTTATTTTAAGCTTTAAATAACTAATTTATGGATAACAAATAATTAATTAAAATTAGTTAAAAATAATAAATATATTATAAATATACTTTTATTTTTAAATATATCTTTATAATGAGGGAGAAAAAAATGAAAGAAAATATGTAAAAAATATGATAAGAGAGAAATAAGTGAAAACAACATTAAAAAAATATATTACATGTTAAAACAAACTCAAATTTAAATTTATAAGACAGACCAAATCTCTTCCTAAATCTAAAGCTTATTTAATTGGATAAGAGGGAGTAATAAATAAAAAGTAAAATAGTATAACTATGTTAAAAATTTAATGATGAGAAAAAAATAGAAATAGGGCCAAAGAAATAGTTTGAAATATTTTAAATTAACTTTTTAAAAATAATTTTATGTAATTTGAAATAATTATGTGAGATAAGTTTTGTCTCGTCACGTTTAACAATATTTTTTTTTAAGTGTCCAAACACTGGCTAGTAATAAGTTACAACAAAATATCCAATGAGTCTCTTTTTTTTAAGGCCAAATCAATGAGTCTCTTTTAACCACAATACTATTCATAAATGATAGCTTGTGTTTTAAAAAAATACTCTTTAAGTTTTTAATATAGACCTAATTATTGAATTAATTTTAATTTTAAATATAAGATATATATATCATATTTATCAATTTTTAAATTATTTTTATTAATATTCTTTCAACTGTAATTAAATTGGACTGAGTATTAACCGGGAGAAGTTAGCAAGTCATGGTTTTTTTGAACTGATGGTAATACATACTTAAATATTTATATGATAATTTTTTTACCTGAATACATAATATATTTATATAATAATTTTTTTACCTGAATACATACTTGTATAATAATACATGCATGAAAATTACAATTACAATAATGTGTTATCAAGTAAATAAATATTTTAAAAAGATGCCCTTACCCTTTGTAGTTCAAATTATTTCTCACCCCATATAGAGGTTCAAAATTTCAACACCTCAGCGAATGTGTGTGGCTGTCGTGACTAAGGACCGAGAGTGATTACTGTTTTTTAGACTCTTCATTTCTTTTTCTTACCGTCTCCGTGTTCTTTCGTCTCTTCACCCTCTCCGTCCAAGCCCCAATTCGAGGTCGCGAGCAACAATTGGTTCAGGTTTCAACTTTCATCTTTAGACTTGTATAAAAATTAAAAAAAAAAACTTTCATCTTTAGACTTCATGGACATTTTTTAATTATTTCAGGGAAAATATCATAAATATATGAGACAAATAATAAGCAGTGGGCAGTAAAAAAAAAAAACAAGGACAAACTCATAAAATTCGTAAGAATAGTAATATTTTTTTAAAAAAATAAAAAAAATACTGGGGTCACTGAATTATGATAAAAGTGTAAAAGGAAGCAACAATCCATGCGGAAACGTACTATGAGGTCGTCTCCTGGTCCCACCTGGCCCCCTCCCTCATTCCTCTCTCTCACAATCGATCAATCATCGAGGGATTCTGTGATGGACACGTCAACCCTGCGAGCATTTCTTCCCTCATTTCTCTCACTCGATCAAGAGGTGCCAGGTGTGTTTTATTTGCGTGTACTTTTAATATCCAGTATAGCATAAAGGGAACGCAGCTAACGTCACTTTGTGAGCAGCTCCCCAACGCCACTGTTCATATGCACGGTAGTGGCTCCCACCGCAAAATGAAGGATTGCGTGTTGGACTCGGTACATGCTCCCCCCCCTCTATTGGAAGTAGTCTTCTTGAGATAGAATCAGACATTAAATAAGGACAACTTTCTATTTCAATCTTGATTCCTTATATTACAAAAGACTAATTTTTTTTATTAGACCTAATCTTATGAGTTCTGTACATGCTCCTTAATAAATATATTGAACTGGAAATTCGGGAAAAACAAAGCATGGTAACGAAAGATTCAAATTTCAAATTTTAAACTTTAAAATCCCCTCCGCTCCTATTTTTTATCATCCGTTCGGTCCTTTTTTTTAAAAGGAAGATGATAAATAAATAAGGTTAAAATTAGGATATTTTAATTTAAGAGACTAATACTATGTTTAGATGGAGAGAAAATAAGAGAGGAAGAAAAACTAGGAAGGAAAATGAGAGAGAAGTAGTTTTTCCTTTATTTGGATTAGGGAAGAAAAGTGAAAGAAAAAAAAAGTTGGGAAGAAAATAAAATGGGTCCTATATCCCATTTTTCTTTCAACTTTTCTCTCTGTATATAGAGAGAAAATAAAAAGAAAAAGCATTTTCCCTTTCTACTCTTATATATGTTTTTTTCTACAAAATAATACCTATTTTTTTTATTTTTTCCTTTATTTATTATTTTCATATGTTTTTCTTCTGTGTTTGTTTGATTGAAAAATAAAATAGTTAAAATTGCAAAAATCCTTCTAATAGCATTACATTACATAAATGTTATTTTTTAATAAAATTATTTGATATTAAAATATAACGACACGATGATATATCTTTATCAAATAATTTCATTTTAAATTATTTAATTATTTTAATATAAATATGGTTTTTTATTATGATATTCAATTTGATTTTAATCAAAATATATTTTGATATAACAATTAGCGTATCTTAGTCATTCATATATTTACTCTTTTTTTTTTTCTAAGGAGGGTAAGGATTAGAAATGACGGAGAAAGAAGTTATTTTCAAATTAAAATTTTAAAATTCAGAAGAAATGACAAAAATGGTTCTTCTTTTTTTTTTCCCAAAAAAGGGTCAACTCTTCCCCAGCGCTGTCCGTTTGAAAACATCTCTCTCCATCTTAACTTCACATGAGAAAATTAAAAGGTTGTGT